CGTCCCTGACGCGCGCTGCCCGTTGCTCCCCGCAGGGGCGTGGGCTGCATTCACTACGAGATGGCCACGGGCAGGCCCCTCTTCCCCGGCTCCACGGTGAAGGAGGAGCTGCACCTCATCTTTCGACTCCTCGGTCAGTCTCCTGCGCTCCCCCAATGTGACCACCAGGGGGCGACAGAACTCTGTCCCGCCCAAGCGCATAAAGGGACCGGGACGAGCCGCTGCGCCTGCTCACAGCAGGGCGAGGACTCAGGGGCCTTGGCCATTTTCTGTCTCCTCCCTGACATTGCACCCCTCCAGGTCGCCCTTGTCCCTGGCCCCTCACCAGGCCCCCCCACCCCTTTTTTGTCTCCCTAGGGACCCCTACAGAAGAGACGTGGCCCGGAGTGACGGGCCAGTCTGAGTTCCGCGCCTACAACTTCCCCCGGTACCTCCCCCAGCCGCTCATCAGCCACGTTCCCAGGTAGCCTGCCTCCCCAGCCTCCTCTCCTGCCTGTGGTCCTGGCTGTCCCTCCCTCCCACTCCGCCCAGGCCAGGCCTGTGCCAGCTCCTTCCTCCTGCAGGTTGGACTCCGAAGGCATCAACCTCCTGACCAGCCTTCTCCTGGTGAGTGTGCCCGCCGCTGGGCCAGGAACGGGCAGCCAAAGACAGCTGAAGCCCACGACCCCACCCCGGCCCGGCACCCGCCTCTGTGCTCACCCGCTCATACGTCAGGACTGCCCCTTTCCGGCCACTGTCCACCCCCCATCCCCCCACCCAGGCCCAAGAGAAGCACGATTTCCCCGCTGACTTGGAGTGGGCGCACTCAGAACCAAAACCCAATTCAAACTCACTGAGTGGCTGTGTGGCTTGGGCAAGCTGCGGACCTTCTCTGTGCTTCCGTCTCCTCCACGCAAAGTGCCATCGATCATCCATGTTTTATAAGATGGCCCTGAGGCCAAATGGAGATTATGGAACACACTTACTCTGGGGCATGTCTTTAATCCTTAAAGCACACAGAAGGGGGTACTTGTTGGTGTGACATGTTGCTGTTACTATTAATGTTGTGACCGCGGTTGCTTTAGCGGCTGCATTTCCATCCCCAGAGGAGGTCACGCTCCCGAAGTCCCGTGTCTCGTTTTCCTGCTGGTGGGCCCTGGGCTGAGGCTGCCTGGGGTTGGGCTGGAGCTGGGAGCTGGCAGTGGACCCCAGGGCCTCTCAGTTTGGACGCGGGCCCCTCCCACATGGGCATCTAGCTTAGCTTAGGGGGACCGCTTCCCAAAGGGGTCCCTGCATCCCGCCAGCCGGGACCCACCCCACCCCTGTGCTTTCAGTATGAATCCAAGAGCCGCATATCAGCAGAGGCAGCCCTGAACCACCCCTACTTCCGGTCTCTGGGGGAGCGTGTGCACCAGCTCCAAGACAGTGAGTGGCAGGGTGGTGGGGGGAGGGGGAGGGGCACCCCAGAACCCGGAAAGGGGGCAGCAGGTGTGGGCAGAAGAGCTGTAACAAAAAGGCCAGAGGCCCTCGGTCCAGCTGCACAGCCTTGGGCCAGGGCTTCCCTTCCTTCGGTTCTCATTTGTGAGCAAACGGCCCAACTGTGGGTCCGAGACTCTGCCTGAAAGGCACAGTCCTAACTGAAGGGGTTCCCCAGCCAGGGGGCGCTCCCAGCTCCATGCACTCTGGGTGTGGGGCTCCGACTCCGCCCAGCTCTCTCCCTGTCCTCCCCTCCAGCTGCCTCCATCTTCTCCCTGAAGGAGATCCAGCTCCAGAAGGACCCAGGCGGCCGGGGCCTGGCCTTCCAGCAGCCAGGTAGGGCTTGTGCGCCGTCCCCCCCCTCCCCCACCCCGCTTAGTAGAGGAGACAGGCCA